CCCCAAAACCCCAAAACCCCAAAACCCCAAAACCCCTCGACCGAATTCTAGAGTAGAAATCTATTTATTTGGCTGGTGAAATTATAATTAAGATTTTAAAAATGGAGAAACAGGAAGAAGAGACTATTAATACAGACTTGTATTCAAGGCAAATTGGAACTTTTGGGATGGAAACAATGGGGAAACTTATTAAGTTGAACATCCTGATTGTTGGATTGAGAGGATTGGGAGTTGAAACAGCCAAGAATCTTATTTTGGCAGGACCTAAGCGTGTGGATATCTTTGATCCAACCACTGTTGAGAAGAGAGATCTTGGAGGAAACTTTTATCTAGAGGATTCTCATGTGGGAAATAGCACTAGAGCCGAAGCTTCTATTGAAAAACTTAGAGAGCTTAACCCATATGTTAAGGTAGATGCAGTGACTGGAGAGATTAACCTTCTCGCATCTAACTATGATGTAGTTGTTGTCACCGAGTTGTTCCAAACAACTGAGGAACTCTTTAAATTGAATGAAGATCTTAGAGCCCAAGATAAAGGATTCATTTTGAGTCAAACCTTTGGTGTCTATGGATACACCTTCGTTGATTACGGAGACAACTTTATGATCAGAGATGAGACTGGAGAAGATACTAAATCTTTCATTGTTACTAGTATTAGTAACGAAGCCGAAGCTATCTGTACTGTTCATGATGACAAGAGACATACTTTCCACGATGATACTTACATACAATTCTCTGAAGTGCAAGGAATGACTGAGATTAACAACACTGAGCCAATAGCTATTTCTGTTATCGATGGATACAGCTTCAAGCTCAAGTTAGATACTACTAATTTCGGAAAATATGAGAGAGAAGGATTAGTTGCAGATGTCAAGGTACCAAAGAAGCACAAGGTAAACTCTTTGAGAGAGGCATTATCTAAACCACTTGCTGCCTCTCCAGATGGATGCTTCATTACCCCAGATCTTGCTTTCTTCGACAGGCCAGGAGCTCTTCATTATGCTTTGCAAGGTATTCTTAGGTTCTTTGACAAGAATGGAAAACTGCCAGGAAATACAGATGATGATGCTAAAGCAGTCCTTGATTTTGCTAAAGAGATTAATGAAGAGAACAAATCGGTCGAAGGAGCATTTACCATTGATGAGTTCAGTGAAGAAATATTTAGTAATGCTAGTAGATACTCTAGTGCAAGCATCACTCCAGTTGCTTCCTTCTTTGGAGGAGTGGTTGCACAGGAAATTGTCAAGTTCACTGGAAAATACACTCCGATCACCCAATTCTTGCATTTGGATTTCTTCAAATCATTGCCAAAGACTGAAGTGAACAGAGAATTACAGGGATCTCGTTACGATGACCAGATACTCATCTTCGGAAATGAAGTGCAGGAGAAGTTGCTTAAGCAGAAGATCTTCCTTGTTGGTGCTGGAGCCCTTGGATGTGAGCTCATTAAAGCCTTCTCACTTATGGGAGTTGGATGCTCTACTGAAGGACTTGTCTCATGCACTGATAATGATAACATCGAAGTATCCAATCTTAACAGACAGTTCCTTTTCAGAAAAGGAGATGTAGGACACTCTAAATCTGAGACTGCTTGCAGAATTGGTGCAGAGATGAACTCAGACTTTAATGTCAGGAGCTATCAGACTCTTGTAGGAGAACAAACTGAAAATGTATTCAATGATACATTCTGGGAAGGTCTTGATTTTGTCGTAAATGCAGTTGATAACATCAAAGCTAGACTGTATGTTGATTCAAGATGTGTCTGGTACAAGAAGCCCCTTCTTGAAAGTGGAACACTTGGTACTAAAGCTAACTCCCAGATGATCATTCCTAACATGACTCAGTGTTATGGAGATTCTACTGATCCTCCTGAGGAATCAATTCCAATGTGTACCTTGAGAAACTTCCCTAATCAGATTGAGCATACTATTGAGTGGGGTAGAGATCAATTCAACACTCTCTTCACAGACAGAGCCAATGACGTTATTGCATTCTTGGAATCTCCAGATCAGTATCTGAAAGAATTAAAGGAGAATAATACAGTTAGTGGACAAATAGATGCTCTTCAACTCATCAATGACTTAATCGATATCCAAATATCAGGATCTTTTGATGCTTGTGTTGAATTCGCTTGCAAGAAATTTGCTCAGAACTTTACTAACGCAATCAAGCAACTGCTTCATATCTTCCCTAAGGATTATGTTGACAAAGATGGACATCCATTCTGGAGTGGTCCAAAGAGAGCTCCAGATGTTGTTGAGCTTGACACTACTGATGATCTTCATGTTCATTTCATTTCAGCTTGTGCTAACCTTTACGCCTTTAACGCTGGAATCCCACAAAACAGAGATAAAGGGGATATTGCTAAAATTGCAAGTAAGGTTGATCTTCCAACATTCACTCCAAAGACAGGAGTCAAGATTCAGGTAGAAGAAAACGAAGAGGAAAATAAGGAAGAGCCATCTGGAGATGTCCCTATTGAAGAAATTGAAACCCTCAACAAGCTTATCCAGGAGCTTAAGGATAAAACTGGAAAGGCTTCTAAGGACTCCTTCACTGCTGCAGATTTCGAAAAAGATGATGATACTAACTTCCATATCGACTTTATTCATGGAACAGCTAATCTTAGAGCCAGAAATTACAGAATCACTGAGTGTGAACAACTCAAGACTAAGCTCATTGCTGGAAAAATCATCCCAGCCATCGCCACTACCACTGCAATGATTGTTGGTGCTGTAGGAATGGAATTATACAAGGTCGTTCAAGGATTTGACAAAATTGAAGATTACAGAAATGGATTCATCAACCTTGCTATCCCACTTTTCGTCTTCACTGAGCCAATTGAAGCCAGCAAGACTAAAGATGTTGAAATGGACCCAATCATGTTTGGTCCAGTGAAGGCCATCCCAGAGGGATGGACTATCTGGGATACTATTGAAATTGTCGGATCCATGACCTGCCAGGAGTTCTTTGATAAGCTTAAGACCGATTACGGAATAGAGACTACCCTTCTATCTACCGGTAATATCGCACTCTACAATGACTACCTCCCAGGGAAGAAGCATGCCCCAAGACTAGAGAGAAAGATTGAGGATATCTATGCAGATATTGGAAAGCCAGTCGAAGGCAGAAACTACATTACTCTTGAAGTAGGAGCTGCTACTGTTGATGAAGGAGTCGATGTCACTATGCCAAAGATTAAATACCAATTTGCTTAAGAAATAAGGTGTTTTGCGAATATTTTAGGATTTGCTAAAAGTTAGTACATTCAACCGGGGATGAGTAGATGGGGTTTTGGGGTTTTGGGGTTTTGGGGTTTTGGGGTTTTGGGG